AGTCAAAACTTTCACCACCTGAGCCAGCCAGGCACCCGACTCCTTATTTTCACCGGTCATTGCTGGTAGTCCTAAAATCGTGGCTTGGTCGCTCTACCATATCTACTACTCAATTGCTTGTGTCTTTTAGAACCAATATTTCACTCAGTTGATGGGTACACACTGATCTTTTTTAGTTTGTTTTATATCCATTAAAGAATTGAAGTCATTGGCTTAATTAAACTGTTGGAAGAAAATGAACTCATTGGCAAATGATGCAAACAGTCTGGGACCTCTAAACAGCTTCATATCTTGCCCTCTTTTAAAAAAGTCTACTCAGAAGTCTTAGGATTGATACAAGTTTCATTTGTGTCTTTTTTTTTTTTTTAACTTTATTGTTATTTTGATTTTGATGGCACAAAGCCTGGCCACCAGCAGGAATGTGATGGTATTCATGCTGTCCTTCAGGAGAACTCCAAATAGCATCTACTTTTGAAGACAAAACAATGGAGACTTAAGCCCTGATATGAAGAGCTTGTAGCTTACAAAGGGACGGAGATAATGCATGCAGGAAGCTGTCAGCACAGAGTGAAATCTCATTGGCTTTGGGGGATGGTACTGGTAAATCCAGAAGGAAGTGTATGAGTCAGCTAAGCAAGGAGGACCTGGGAAAATTCATTTCAAGTGAAATGAGAATTTATCCAGTACTTAATCATTCTTTTCAATGATTTGGCTTTTTCTAACCTCCAGATATTTGACTCTAACCCCACTTATTTCTGAACTCAAATTTACTTTGCAATTTTTCAGTTTGGGGGAGTCATATGTCCTAGTGTCCATCTGATGTAAGTACTCGTAGGACCTTGAGATAGATCCTTGCATATTTTAGCCAACCCCATTCTACAGGTAAACCCTAGATTTTCTTCTAGTGCTTATCCCCGAAATCCAGAGAAGTGGTCACCTATGTATTTAGTCACAAGCTTTATCCCTGTGAAATAGGATGGAGGGTTGAATGCTTAAATAGATGGTTTGAGAATGCTCTGCCTAGTAAAAGAAGTCAGGAAAACTGCACGATTGTGAAGCTGTTGGGCAGGTGGTTCCTGTTGGATGCCGAGGACATGGGTTCCTTTTGTCCTCTCAGCCCTTTTGACCCTCCCCCAAAGCCTCTCCATAAAATGGTCTGAAGTTTTTCATGCTATTTCGAGTAAAATGGAAGCTCTCTTAAGCACCCCCCACTTGCCATTTGCCAGCTTCTCTATAAAACTCACTGGTGGGTATTGCAGCAAGCTGAAGACTCATGACTTTCTTTAGTACCCACCATCTCTCTCACTGCTTACACTGCCTGTAATTACATAAATTCAACCATATATAAACCCAAAAGTGAGGAATGTGTATTGTTTCTTTCCCACACAAACATGTACTTTTTTTTTTCTTTTTTCTGAAAGCTCACCTGTATTTGTCTTTTGTTCTAACTCCTGACCACACAGGTACTGGGTTTTCTTTGAATGCCGTCGGGTGACCTGGTTCCCAGCTTCTTCTTTGTACGATAGCCATTGTCTTCTATCTTTTAGTGTGGAATGGGCTTGTGGCATTAAAATTCCTTTCAGACGCCTTCTCATCTCCTTCATGAGGATGGGGAAGAAAGTTCTAGAAAACTAGGCACTAGGTCCGACTCACTGAGGAACAGCAAGAGGAGCAACTTTTAAATTTTCTTTATTTATAGACATTTTGGAACCATTTAAATCAACAATGAATTTTTTTTAGACATAACATACTATGTTTCTCTTGAGGTACACATTGGGCCCATTAGATAATGCTCTGGAAAGTAATACAACCATTAACTGGTAGTTAATACCCCCCCCCGCCCCGGTTTTCCAAGCAAAGAACCTATAAAGACAGTTACAAAATTCTTTGAACAGAATATACCCTTTCCATTTAAATCAAGGAACACTCTCCCAATTTTTAATTAATTGAGTTGAAGTTTCAGGCTTGGCTTAAACAGCATTTTAAATGGAACTTAATACGAAAATGGGAGAAGAGGCTGATAGCTAAGAAACGATCTGAGCCCGACTACATGGGACTGTAAACAAAGGAAATTTGTAATCTGATAAGCTCATTACATATCCATAGCCTAAAAATTAGACAGAGCAGCAAAATTACGTAAGATATTTGTACACAGTTTTAACTGAAATCACGTTTACCCCTTGTTTCTGGTTTTCACAACGAGATAAATTTTAAAACACCAAGGTTTAAAGACTAAACTGCAATGGGACTGGACAAGAAGGGGCCAGGAGAATTCCACAACATGACAACCCCACAGCATAAAAAAATCCTACTTTCCATCATTTGCACTCTGGGCATTTTCCTCTTCTTGCCTTAGGAGCCCATTGCCTTTATTTACTAGATAAAGAGTGGGCATTGACAGAAGGGTCATAGTTTCTGAAAGTCTTGTGTGTCCAACAGCAAAATTAACTTTTCTGGGGGACTGATGTTGAAATTTCCTCTAAATGGTTCCCAAGGTACTTTGGAGAACTGTTTTGTTTTGCAGTTGGGTATTCACAATGTTAATTTCATGCTCTTTAGACATGATGAGTAGTGACTTGTTACACAAAGTGTTTGGAAAACGAAGGACCCTCTCTTTGTCCACATCCAATCCCTGAACTTCTCAAGGAGTTGTACGGATAGTGGGCAGGTGGTTCTGGAATGTGAGCAGAGGGTGTTTATGCCTGTGTCTGAAAACAGTTGGAATGGATTGTCATAACAGTTTCCCGTAAGATTGTTTTATTTCTACATGAGACAAGAATAAACACGGCAATTTAGTCGAATGGGCAGCTTGCTGCAACTTCATAAACTTGAATGGTACATGTGGGCTGAAAGAGTATAAATGTAAATTTCACAGTTCATAAAGTTGAGCAGCTCAACTTCAAGGAGAACGTGCCGGCGTTTACAAGGTTCTGAGAAAGAACCGGTCTGGGAGTGTGTGAGTTCTCCCTTCCAGCGTGAGTCAGGTTCATATTCTACACTTAAGCTGCTTGGTTTGGCTTACTGCTGATTTTCTCTTCTGATGGGGGCCATGAATTTAAATCACAAGAAGGGTCCTGTTAGACACACTTTCCCCCAAGCCCCACGGTCACCGCGCTGACTGCACGGAACCTGCCAGATAATGCTCAGTCTTGACCTGGTTGGTTACAAAAAATTCTGCTTCTGGGGATCGTTATAACATCGTTTCTCCCTGCGAAACTGCAGCTCTCTGAAGGGAAAGGCCATTTCCTCCCGACCCCCGCGCCACGGCTCTTGCCGTGATTCTCTCTGCCTATGTGTGCCGTGTCTAGTCAGGGTGCCAAGGTCCTCTACAGACTAGTTTTCAGCTCAGGATGGCAACTACGTCTATCTGTGCCTTTAGAGATGCCAGAAGATAGTTACCACAGTTAAACATCCCCAGTCAGCAAAAGAGAACATTAGCCAGTGGGAGTCCGAGATACTTTCTGCCTCCAACATAGTCCAAGTTTTCACGATCACATGGTGTTGATTTTTTTACCCCTTTCACAGAGGCTGCCATTTCTTCCATCTGTGGATTCTTTAAAGACAGAACACACTTATCTCTCCATACATCCAACGGCCCAGAAGATTTCACGTCTCTCTTACTCACACATATGCAGTCTCAGCAACTGTGATTTTAAATATAAACATTTTGAGCTCCAGGAGGGCTTTCTTTTTTTCCCCCCAGCATTGTCGAGTCATACTAGCACAGTGCCTGGCAATAAAAGGTGCTCAACAGATCTGAATACATGACCCAAAGGGCCTAGCGCCCACCCCCTAGTGCCCACCCCCAAGTAGTCTCTGCGTTGCCACCAATACAAACTTGATATAAACATGCCCGGACGAAAACCAGAAACTATTTGTGTAGAGTTTTTGCAAAGAAGAAACAAAAAAAAAAAAAAAAAAAGGAAAGAGAAACACACAAGGAGTCAGCTGTTCATGGGGGCAGCCTTCAGAGTAAACCAAACCTACTGTGTTCCCCTGGCCTGAATTCGAGAATTGTGTCCAAGGGTCAGGTGCTTAAAAGCAGATTCAGCAAGGATTTGCTAGAGAAAAAAAACAAGAACAAAAACAAAAACAAAAAACGTGCAGCATTTCAATTGCATCCTGTCTGTTTTTATTTTAAAAGAAAGTGCTGATAGGTTAACATTGCTAGAGAAATGGTTGTTCACACAGAAGGATGTTTCTTAAACATGAAAGTCACTGAGGGCAGGTCTCATGTCATGTGAGTGCAGGACCGGAAACTTCCATACAGATTTTTTGGCTACTTCTGAAGGGGTGCTTCAGTTCTCTTTATGGGATACATTTTACCTAGAGTGTTTACATTTTGGGAGATGTGTTAAGGGAGGGAAGAAATGCTTAAAAAAAGATTTAGGATGGAAAATGAGAAGAGGTGTCCGTTCCCCTCAATTTTAAATCAGGAGATGGACTGAGAGCATCATTAATGTCAAGAAATAAAGCCATATTGCATACTGCATGTTGTGTTACCATGGGTCTTGTCTTTCCCCTTGTGCATTTGTTTTGGTGAGCAAGAAGAGTGGGTAAGAAGATAGAAGCCAATCCTGCAAGTCATAGTGACACCCGGTTTGGCTGACGTCAGTCACAGATGTCTGCACATCCAGAATCAGGCTGGGGGGAGGCAGGGCTAGTGCTGGCGACTTGCTCGGAGAACTAGAACTTTTCTAAGATTTACATTCCTCCAAAAAGTCAACAAGGATGATGAGGCCATTATATTTTGGACTATTTAATCACATTTGGCAAGAACTGTCAGAATCATGTCCTGGAATTCTTGGAATAAAATTATGGTAATGATGTGTTTTCTTTGGAAGAGATGGAAGAAGAGGTTTATGAATGAAACAAGTGTACTTACTAATACTTTATAAAAATTTACTCAAAAGATGAAGGTCCTAAGTCTGATTTCTGAGCTCTCCTGAATCCAAGCGTTGGATACCTAACACGCTCTGAGAAACACTCTTCAGACCAGGAAAAAAGATGACCCTCAAACCGGAGATGAATTACCCTCTGACAAGAAACTATCACTTTCCCAGACATCGGTATGCAAGTATTATTATAAGCAAACCACCGCCCTTGGGCTTACAAATTTAATTCTTTAATACAGACCCTCTACTGATTTCTTCCAGGCTTTCCATGATGAAGCAGAGTCAGACTGAGCTTCGAGGGGAAGGGTTCTGAGAATCTTTGGAATCACTCTGTCCACTCTTCCTAAAATAGTCAACTTAGTTAATGGCCCCAAACCCAAATTTTTGAAAGTGAACAGATGTTATCTAAAATATCAGACTAATGATGTTTAAAACACACATGTGTATTGGGTATACATATGTGCACATATATGTATATGTTCGGGGTTTTTTTTTTTCCCCACTGCTCAATAAAATCAGCAGTAGTTATAGATAAATTATTGTGGTCATGATTTGTATTATTTCATATATCCTCTATCAACACATGACTTTTGGAAAATGTCTCTTGATGAAAAGATCCCCACCAAGCATATATCAAACAGTAAAGTGTCATTTCATATCACTAACATTTTCAGGCACAAGAGTAAAACGATTAGCACTGAGCAATCCAAACGACAGAGCACAGGACAGTTAATTGTCTAAAGTCGATTCCCCCAAAGGAGAGAACTGTTGTTCAAAAAGTGTTTTTTTTTTGTTTTTTGTTTTTTTAAGTTTTGTTTGTTTGTTTTGATTCTTACAGTTTTCAGCTTTGGCTATTTTGTAATAAATATCATACCTTCTCACATAAACTTCCTTGGGTGAGAATTACTTCTCTGCACATGCCTTTTGTCTTTTAGCAGCTGTTGAGTGTTGAGTGATGTACAAGGCACACCTCTAAGTGTTCTGTACAGCATTTTTATTGATGTACAAAATAGCCTGTTCACCATTCAAAAACGTAATCTGCATAGTAAGAGTTTCTCTTATCCCTATTTACAGAGAAGGTTTTTAGTGCAAAAAACATGGAATTGTGTCCCAGCCCACCCCTTCTAGCACACACATTTGTTCATTTTGTTCAATGCTAGCTGGGGTTATTTGGCTATATTTTGGGCCTCCAGCCATTAATGAATTGCATTATTTTCTTCACCTGCAGTTTGCTCAATTTGAAATCCTCTGAGAGGATTTCTTCAGTCAGCTGAACGAGCAAATTCCCATCGATCTTCTCAGTAACGAAGAATGATATGACATCTTCAGACAAACCAATAAACCGTAACGACTTGGCCACTTCTTCTATGGAGAGTCCCGATAGGTCAGCGGGCGGCTGCCATGGGGAGCCATCGCCACAGGACCTGGGGGCCAGCTGGAGGTGGAGCGGAGATGCGAAAGGGTAGGCGACGGAGAAGATGTCCTGCATGCCCTTTTTAACAAAGTACTGGTCCTCAGAGAGGTCCGGTGACCCTGACTTGGGGTCTTCCTCAGCACCATCAATTTTCAGAGGCAAAGGAGAAGTGTCCGAGGCGGTTTTCTCTTCCACTGGTTTGGGAGCCCTGGGGGGTAAGGCAGGGCACGAAATACTCTGCTTGGTCGTGTCAGCAGCCAGAATTTTCTCATCTGTGCTCTCCACAGAGTAGCTGGCTGACTTGGGACAGGCGGAGATGCTGCCGCTGAATTCTGAAGTGATAGAGCCGGGGGGACTGGCCGAGAGCTCAAGGCCATCCAAATCAAAGGGTGCTGGGCAGTTTCTCTTTGGTGTGCCTGGCGTCTTCTGTCTGGGGTAACTGTAGCTCCTGCTGGGACCCAGCAGGAAGTCATTCCTGGTCTGGTTCTCCGCTGCTCCCGAGTAATGGTTGGGCCACGAGAGCCTGGAGGAGAGCGTGTCAGCAGAGGGACTTCCCATTGGGGACTTGAGGTCCACGCAATCCGTTTTCACACGGTTACAGGGGTAGCAGGACACAGGAGCGCTTTCAGGAGGACTTGTGTCACTTTTAGGAACGCTGCTTAAGAGCAAACACAGAAAAGGAGATGAGTCAAAAGGAAAAGCCTAATGTCAAGCCGACCCTGATCCCCCAGTCGTCACTTCTGAACAGAAAAGGACAGCTAGGAAGGAAAATACAGTATTTCTTATCATGAATTTGATCAAGCACCTGCTAACTTTACCGGGTTTTTAAAAAAGTCTGTAAGTTACCAAAATATACCAATAATTACACAGATTTGTGAATTATAATGATTTAAAAGGATATAATAGAGGTGGTTAGTTTTTTTTTTAAACTAACAAGAAAATCATGGTGAGTAGGGTGCCTGGATCTTTACAGTGAGAAAAATTCTTAAGCTATGTTGAGGCTTACCCCCATATGACCCCAACAGGTCATGTAAATGATGAATAATGCCTACAGCGGGTCAGGGTGGCGCGAGAGCTACAAAGGGGGGGCCTCGTGCCTGTCATCCCTGTGCCAGGGGACAAGACCACAGCACCAGCACCTAGGACTCTATTTCTATCCCAAAGTCGGAAGTGAGAAGAAATGCGTCAAACACAATGCTTGCCTGGGCTTCCATTCAACTGAGTAAAACTAGCATCAGGATTTAAACGTCCAGAGAACAAAAAAAAATAATGCAAAAGAGAGCTATTTTAAATGGTGAAGACCATATACGGAATGGTGCATTCAGCTCGGGCGCCACATTGTAAGAGTGTCAGGGAAGCCAGGCTGTGCTCAGAGGTGGGGTGACGAGGCTGATGGGGGACCAACCGGGCAGCGACGTCAGGGCAAACAGTTGGCGGAACTGAGGCGATCTCTTTGGAGAAGAGAAGACTTACACCTTAGCCGACTTCAAATCGTTCATGGGCTGACAAAGAGAAGCAGGGAGGATCTATTTATTTATTTTTTTTCTAGATGTAAGAAACAGTTGCAAGTTACGTGGAGATAGATTCAACTGGGTATAGGGAAAGATTACCAAAAAATCACGGGCGTTTGCCAACCGTGGAATGAACTGCGGTGCAAAAGAAGGAGCTCAACAGCTCTGGAAGGACCCAGACAGAAGCGAATGGCTATCAGACCGCCGCGGTCAAGAAGGGACTCCCGTACTGGGTGGAAAGGCAGAGCAGAGCCCACAGGACCCTTTCCGCTGCAGGTCCCGGCTGAAGGCGCTGCCTGTCTGCTCGTGCAGAAGTGGGAGTGGAAAGAACAAGATGCTGGTCTGAGGGAGCTGGTGGCACCCCGCGGCTCGCTTTAAAGAGAATCTAGTTGGCCTTTATCATGGAGTTTCTCACATATACTGTGGTTTCTTTTCTTCCTAGGACCCTGGCTCTTCCATCCTAACCTGAAACCAACAGGGGCCCCATCATGCTTTTCCAGTGCAATTCCTCTGCGTTCAAAGGACATTTCCTCTCCCACCTCCTGCCTGGGCTGCGGCTACCTTGACACTGTTCTCAAGACCCGGTGAGCTGGCCGACAAGAAGACACGTCCCTGCGTGAAGACTTACATGTCGTGCAGCCCTGAAGAATAGTAGGACAAGGTGGGGCTGGGAGAACGAGTCTGCTGCCGCGCTGGCTTGGCTGTGCGAGGAGGGACGGAGGGGCTTGTGGACAATGGCTTTGCGCTTCGGGGCGGAACAGGAGGGGCGTTCAGGAGCCGGCACTCTTCCCTGACCTGGCGCAGAAAAGAACACTCTGGGTTAGCAACAGACTGACAACGGGCCAAGTTGCTACTCTTAAACAACAGTAGCAGCAGGTGTACGGAGGGAGAGAGAAGACGCAGCACGCGAGGAGGACGACAGACACTGATGCTGCCCGAGATCAAAGCTACGCCTGTCGCGAACTTGCTGGGACAGACCGATTTTTTTTTTTAAAGATTTTATTTATTTACTTGACAGACAGAGATCACAAGTAGGCAGAGAGGCAGCAGAGGGGGAGGGGGGGAAGCAGGCTCCCTGATGAGCAGAGAGCCCGATGCGGGGCTCGATCCCAGGACCCCGGGATCATGACCTGAGCTCAAGGCAGAGGCTTTAACCCACTGAGCCACCCAGACACCCCCGGGACAGACTGACTTTCAAGGGGACTGCTTGGCAAAGGCCAGCGGCTGCTGAACCACGGCCAATAACGTGAACTACGGCGAGTTAAAGGGCTAGTGATGGGTGAGCTGTGTAAAAGGGATGCATTAAGAAAATAAGGACATAAGGCAATCGTGACCTTCATAGAGGATCAAACTTATCGACTGGGCTGTGTTTATCCCCTGTTCAAACTGAATTCAGTGTGATCCTTTGGGGCTGGAGGCTCTTCTCCATGGGGGAAGCTCCTTCTGAAGTTATTATGCTCAGGGCTTCTCACTCCTAAGGGTGCATGTGAATCACCCGGGTTCTTGTTGATGGGCAGATTCTGAGTTGGAAGACCGAGGGCAGGGCCCTGGGAACCTGCATTTCTAAAAAGCTCCCGGCTACCACAGATGCTGCTGGAACAAGGCTGCAGATGGGGTACTGAGGCAGACTTCCAAGCCCCGGGGCCTGGCACTTTTCACGAGAGCTGCCTCTAACTCCCTTCAGCTTCACCTTGGAGAGCATTAGGTGACCTGTGATGTCTATGGCTTGCATGAGTCTGCAGGCTGTAAGTTATCCCATTTCTTTTCCATTCACAGAGGCATTCGAGAATAGGATTCTTTTTAATGAGGCAGACATTTTTAAATGTACTTCTCTGTGTCAGGCAGCAGGGGGCAGTTTATACCTGGTTCTGCTAGTCCACCCTAAGCCACACAGGTAAAAACAGCCAATTCTGACTTCTTCAGAAAGGTCCTTGCCTGATTTTAGGTCGTGTTCCCAACAATTTTTTCACCTTTGCCTTCAATTTCTTCCTGTCCCTGTCCCAGCAGCTCTGGGGTAATCAGGACAATGAAACAAAATGCTTCCATTAGCTTTGGTATTGGGTTTGCTTAAAACCAAATAAAATACGTGCACGTGACTTTGTATCCTCTACCACTACACTGTATCCTCTACATGGCACACTGGGCCTCTAACTGGCTTCCCAGACCTAAGTAGCTTGCCAGAAAAAAAAAAACAGAGGTAACAAAAAGTCACATGACCACGCAAACCTCAATTTTAAGTGAAATGGAAGCAATTTAAAAAGTCTCATCTGTTGCATTTCTTCCTAGCGCAGAGGATCACTGCTCCCACCCGGAGAACCCACAGCCCCAGTGACTGGGACCCATGGGTGATCGTTTTTTCACTGGAAAAGCTCTTTAGGCTGAAACAAAGTAATTCTGAGCAGCGGATTCTCTCTCCAATACATGCAGACTTTTCCCTTTTAAGTTTTTTAAAAGGAGGTAGTGGAGGACTACAGAAGGAAAATCTGGGAAGACCTGGGTTTGGATAAGCAAGAGAGAGAGAGGATCACTCAGCTGGGCGGGGGGACTCCGGCACTACTGGAGGGTCTCCTTTTCTTAAGGAGCTGAGAACCAGCTAGGACACTAAGAAGGGCTGGCCGGGTCACCCCACTGGCTGGCTTTCAGGAGTATATACCGGTTACAAAATAAGTAACTGAGATAGTGAGTCAGCTTCCGTCTTGTTAGTGATTCGTACAGGAGCCAGCTACATTTCTTTTCTTTCTTAGGGAGTATCTACAGGATGGGTGTTACTTTATTATACATGTGCCTGATTCTGTTTATGCGTACGGTAATAGGAATCAGGGAAAACATAAGGAGCCTGTCTTATAACTTTTTAATTTTTAAAATAAACAGTCCCTTTTCAATACTGGGTTAGAAAAGAGCATGGGGGAAACATGGTTAATGCTGAATTTGATTTAGAAATTTCCAAGTTCTGGAAGTAGTCATTGACTGTGATGTTTCATTAGGGCTCACTGACCTAGATGTCAATTATGATATGCTGAGATGTCCATGACAAGATGAATTTTAATTTATTTTTTTATTTTTTATTTTTTTAAATTTATTTGTCAGAGAGAGAGAGGGAGAGAGAGCGAGCACAGGCAGACAGAATGGCAAGCAGAGGCAGAGGGAGAAGCAGGCTCCCCGCTGAGCAAGGAGCCCGATGCGGGACTCGATCCCAGGACGCTGGGATCATGACCTGAGCCGAAGGCAGCTTATTAACCAACTGAGCCACCCAGGCGTCCCAAGATGAATTTTAATTTTAAGTGGCTGACTTAGCTCTTAGAACACAGAAAAGCAGCCGCCTGTACTTGAATTTGACCTATGTTAAGTCCCCTCTTCCTATTCTTAAAACTAACCCCAGGCACTCAAGGTTGTTTTGAGCTGGTTCTGCCACCTACTTCTATAACTGGGAGTCCTGAACAGCCTTCCGACAGGTTTCCCATGCGAGAGGAGGAGCGGAGAGGAAGTAGTGAAAAGCAGTACTGACTCCCAGGGCCCAGGGAGGTGAGCTGTGGCTGAGTGTGGATAGCTCAACTCCAGACTGTAGTGGAGATACCGGAAGTGTTTGGGTGGTCACAGGACTCTCAAAAGGAGGAAGAGTGTGTGCGGGTGTGTGGTTCCTGCTCTTAGGATACGGGGAGGAGTCAGTGAAGAGATGCTCACAGAAGGCCAGAGAAAGGTTCTCTTCTACTGTGAGGAGAGGGCTGTTTGGGCGTCATTGCGAGCTCAGCGGCAAAGAATTAGACTGATTTGAAAACCATCTGGGAGAAAAGGTAGTTGAAAACGAAAACAAAATGACTTTAAAAGGACCTGGTTCGGGGCGCCTGGGTGGCTCAGTCGTTGAGCGACTGCCTTTGACTCGGGTCATGATCCCATGGTCCTGGGGTCAAGACCCACATTGGGCTCTCTGCTCAGCAGAAAGCCTGCTTCTTCTCCCTCTCCCACTCCCCCCTGCTTGTGCTCCCTCTCTCGCTGTCTCGGTCAAATAAATAAATAAAATCTTATTTAAAAAAAAAAAAAAAAGGACCTGGTTCATAACAAGAATTCAGGTGTCATTTTGTCGAGGCACAGAAGGGCCGGCTTTGGCTCCTCCAAGTGGGTGCGTTAGGACTGAGTGGGGCTGAGCACAGCTGACTACCTGCTCTCTGTGTGTTACTTTCATCTTGTTATTTCCTTTCTTTCTATCGGGAAGATTTTGTTTTAAGTCATCCCTACACCCAACGTGGGGTTCGAACTCACAATCCCAAGACCAAGCTTGCATGCTCTACCCACTGAGCCAGCCAGGAGCCCCTCAACTTGTTACCTTCAGCTTGTTGCTGCAGATTTTCAAATGAAGTCATATGCAGTTTATGGGAAAAACTATATGCTTTGGTGAAATACATGCATTTTGGGATCCAGAAGTTACAGTGAGGGTTCATTGCGCCATCTTCCCTCCTACCTCCTATGCCCATTACAGTAATTGTTCTACTTTGCTTCTTGATTGGATTCAACACGGGACATGAATAGCCCAGAGGAGTGTAGTTCTATTTGAGAGGAATTTTATCTGACAATAAAAGGCAATTTACAAGACTGGAAGGCCAACCACCCTATTTCCAGGTTCCCTCATATTGAATTTCACTTTCAAGTGCTACATTTTCAGCGGATTCCTTCTAAAAGTCTCAACATGTGGCTTTCATCACGTTACTTCCCATCTCCGGTGGCACCCTCTGATGGCTGGATAAAGTCCAGCCTCTCCTGCTTTCCACTGAAGCCTTCTGCAGTCTTTCTAGCTCTCTCTGGTAGCCACAGAAATTACTATACCTTACGCCATCCTTCTGGTTATTTCTCCCACCACTCCTCTGTATGAACACACAGGTCCATCCAAAGTGGCAGACTCAGCGTCACCTATACACACCTGTCCTTGTCCGGTCCTCTCTGCTGTGCTTCTTCCTGCCTGTGTTCCTAAATGCAACTTCCCCAGGCCCAGTCCCAAACATTACATGCTCGATCTGGGACCACTGCACAGGGCCACCAGTACATGTCACTGCTTCTGTATTCAGCTCACACTCTTTGTATTTACTTACTTCCCATGTATAGTCACTGAGCCTGCAAGTGAAAATGGTAGGCACTGGCATTGTTGTTACTGGTGCCCTGTGGATGACAGAGTTCGGGGACTCATCACCTCGGGTGCAAATATGTCCCACAGAATGCTAGGCAGAGGTTAACAGATGTCACACATACACAAAATACAACAAAAAGCTACTTTTATTTTAAAATATGTAAGAATGCCTTTTATATTTTTATGTGGACATTGTTATTGGTAAGTCATTTGGGTTGGATGTTAATTTTGTGTGTGTCCTCCTATTAGTGAGAAAAAAATGCACCAGCAGACCTGGCACATATGACCAACCTCAACTCTACCACCACCACACTTGCCATAGTAGGAGTGTGAAAATGACAATGACGGTATTTCTAAACTGGGAAATGTCAACCCCCCTCCAAGTAACTACTATTCTAAATGGGGATATTACAGAATACAGCATGGCTGGCCGGCTAGAGTCCTTCCCTTCCTCTCCAACGTGGCATGTCTGGCAGCATGGTGCGGTTGGGGGTACCTGGGTTATCAGGAATAAACCTCCAAACCTGGTCCTAAGCGAGGTGCTGGCATTGTTTGGGGGCAGGTGTTACTGCCTATCCCAGATTATGCATGACCTCGGCTACTGGTTGATCATTTCTGGTTATGGGTAGTTTGGGTGTTTGCAGAGACGCTCCTGGCACCTTGCTGGTTAGGTCAGGGT